GAAGGGCAGGGACGGGGGTGCACGGCTCCACCCAGCCCCCCCGTGCTCTGTCCCCAGTTCTCCTCCAGCCTTGGAGGAGTTTTCCTCCATGCAGGGATTTTTTTTACCATTGATGGTGACTCTCAATTCCCAGGGAAGGGTGTGCCTTCGGCAGAGGGATGCCGGAACATCAGCGGAACGTGTCGCGCTAATTGCTTCAAAACGCAGCCATATGGAGATGACAAAAGGCATCAAGCTAACTTGGGGTTTGGCAGCTAAGGTGCTGCTACGGAGCCGAGGGCAAGCTCTCCTGCAAGAGCCAGGCCCCAGCAGGGCAGGGGATGCCGGGGACACCTCTCCAGCAGGAGAAGCACACCTGGGGCCAGTCTCCGTTACCTCCCAGGAACACGATGCGAGGCGATGGATCCAGCACGGAGTGAAGGCAGAGACAAGGCTGGTGCCAGGCAGTCCCTTCCCAGCACTGCTGGGGGGCCAGAGGAGATGGCAGGAGACCTCCAGCTGAATACCGGGCTGGGAGCTCTGTGCAAACCCCAATGGGACCGCAGCCCAGCTGGAGAGCCAGCCCTGAAGCCACGCGAGGTGTTGCCAAAACGCCAGCACGGGTCTCACGGCTCTCAGCCCTCCTGTGAGCTGCTGGCAGCACGGCCAGCCCCGGCTGTGGGAGATCTGCTGTCTGCAGCCGGCGGCATCGAACCCAAAGCCTCCGGGCTGCCGCTGCTGGAGACGGCGGCTCCGAACCGGGCTCTCCGCAAAGCGGCCGAATCGCCCCTCTTTGCCCACTTCCCTACTCCCACTCGTCCTCGCAGCTGAGATGTGACTTGATTGTGCTCTTAATTAGGGGAGCGAGTGCCTAAAAAAGAGAAAGGCAGCAATTAGACTTGAAGCGCTGTTACTAGACATATTTAACTTGACTGGGCTATTCTGAATGCTGCCCTCTAATCACACAGGCTGTGAAATAAAAAATATAAATAAATGTCTTTGTCAGGCATTACACAAAGGCAGCTTTGCGCTCTCCAGACAGCAGGCAGGATGTATCATTATTATTATGATTATTCTGCTTCAATGATAAAATAACCATTAGGAGAGCTGAACTCATTAGCAGGTTCTGACCCTCTTTCCTTTCCATGAATTGGGAGAGATTGATGGGAAGGTGCCGGCCTGGGTCTGGCACTTAACACAAGCTCCAAAAAGGAAATATAAATCTGACTTGCACAGGAATGTGGCCTCTTTTCCCACCGGCCTTTGGGCATTTTGATTAATTCAGTGGGCCACAAAATTATTAGAGGCCAGCATAACCAGCAGATGGGTCTCCGGGCTTAGCCAAGGGACACAGCGAGCGTGCCTGGAGCCCGCGGGCGGCACAGCGTCCTGGCACGGCGTCGCTCCTGCCCTTGTTGGTGGAGTCGGCAGAAATTGTTTATTGCTGACATTTCCCATCAGTGCCCAGGGTGACGGGGAGGCTGAAGTAGCTTCTATTTATACCTGCGGGATGAAAGGCAAAACGCGGTGATAAATCTGCACTCCGCTCCCTTATCCAGCCCCTGTCCTTGAAGGCGACGTTCCCTTGCCTGGCCAATGCAGGGCAGCAGATCCACTCCCTTGGTGGCCTGAGATGTCCCAAGGAGAAGAGTTTCTCAGCCCAAGGGATGCTCAAGACGCACAAGAGGCGCCGATGCTTGCAGAACAGATCCCTGAGCTTCGGCACAGCCCACAGAGGAGGGAACTGGTGACTGAGTGAGCTCCTCACCTTCGAAAGTCAGGGAAGCTTTCACATCGCGACTGCCATTAGAAAGCCCAGCAAGGCTCTACGCTGGGAGAAATTGAGGTGTGCACAAAAAAAACACTATAGAACTAATTAAAGAGAAGTCCAAAAGCCTTAAGTCCCCCTGCTTATCAGCACTGCTGCTCCCAAGCTAATCTGCTCAAGGATTTTGTGCCAGGGAGATCAGAGTGGAGCAGTAAAAAGACGGCTGGGGATTGTCTGGATTAGCTCTCCCTTACAGAAAGCACAGGTTCAGTAACCTTCAGACTGGGTATTTTTTAATGCACTATAAAAGATAGGTCCCCATTCTTCCATTGCTTTAATTTTCCTCTGCAATGGAGATAATTTTAAAGGTCCTGAAAGGCAGCGAGTAATTCTGTGCACTTACAGCCCCATGTAAAATGTCGGTAAATGACTCCTCAGGAGGAACAGAAATTATTTCTTGCCATTTCCAGGCAGGGCTGCTGAGGATCGCTTTGGCGAGGGGCTGTGTGTGCACCTACCTCCCCGGGTACAGCAGCACCTCGACCAGATCCTATGGCACACGGAGGGGCACCTCAGGAACGGACTCCCCAGGCCACATGGGAGTCAGTCCCAGGGTGTCAGGGAAGGTGGATAAGGGGACAGTTCTGAAAGTCAGCATCACCATGAGCTGCTCCATGAAGTAAGTGTCCTGGGGAAGGTTTTGAGACATGTCCCCACATCATGCTGGGACATGGACATTGCCACTGGCCCCTGGACCACGTGGTGCCTGTGGGCTGGTCTATTGCTGCGGGCAGGGAAGGATGTTCCCAGTCCTACACAAAAACCCAGCAAGAACCAGTTCCAGCACACAGGCAGGAGACCTTCCTTCCTCATGAGCTCCACGGATGTGGCTGAACTCAGCAGGACCAGGAGTGAGGAACAAGCACGAGTTTGCTTTGTTGCAACCGCTCCCTGTCTCATCACGGGCTTTTCACTTAAAATCTACGGCAATTAATATTTCTTCATTATGAAGACACAGC